TATATATATATATATATTCCAGTTTACTCCCAGTCCCCCTACAAAGTCTCACAAATACCTACTGATCCTGCCACTGAAGTCCACTTCATTTAGCTCAATGAGATAGGGTGGTAACATTGCTGCACTGCCCTTGAATTCAGAGCAGAGTTGCCTCTCATGTAAGCTGTGCCTGCTTGCACTACCGTGGGATGGAAAAAAAATGACAAATGTAAAAAGATAGTTTGGTCCAACAAATATTGAATACAGCTGTGACATGCAAATGGCAGCGTCAGAATTTGGTGTTCACAACATGAATACATGGATCCATCCTGTCTTGTGTAAACAGTTGCGGTTGGTGGTGGCTGTGTATGGGGTGCCTTCTGTCTTTGTCAGCTGCAGGGCCGGATTTCCCACAAGGCCAACCAAGGCCCGGGCCACTGGGCAGCAGGGGTGTGAAACCCATATCTCCCGATGCCCAGGACATGTAGTTCTGGGCGCCGGTCGGGTAGTTTTCTACATTTAGTCCTTCTTTGGGCAAGCAGGGCTAAATGTAGAGCGGGGGAAGCTGCCGCTTGTTTTGCACAAGTGATCTTGGCGATGTCGCCAGGATCACTTGTATGCAGGGTAGGAGGGTGTATTGAGGAACCTGGCCTTGGGGCAGCAGAGAGTAAATCCATCTCTGGTCAGTTGTGCCTTAAAAATTCCCCAATGTGAAGGGGGCTCTTGATGTGAAAGAGGGGGCTCTTGATCTGAAGAGCGCTCCTGATGTGAAGGGGGCTTGTGATGTGCAAGGTGGACCTAATGGAGGGGAACTCCATGCCTTTTCTTTTTTTTTGCCTAAAAATCCATACATAATTACATTTTTAGACTGGAGTGCCTTGAGATTTTGTATAATTTTAAAAGGTGGCGTGACTGAAAAAGGTCGAGAATTGCTGGTGTACAAAATGGTTTTCATACCACACATTAAGCCCCTAATACCAAATGAGCGTAATTTGAATGCCAGAGTAGCCAAGTGTTTTTGCTTACACAGTCTACTTTTTCAAAGTTATTTAATAGGTGTACCTAATATGATACTGCTTCTGTAACAATGTAGCCATCCTTACTTCATGTGTGTGCTATGTCAGGGTTCTGTGCAATACTTTACTGAATAGTATATACCCTGGCAAACCTAAACAGGAGAGTGGATTATTATCCTGCTTGGCAACTCAAAAAAAAAAAAAAGGATATTTCAAACTATGATGCAAACTGAAATTGTTACTAGAAACCCTAGCAATCAGCTAGTCTCATGTTATACCTGAGCCGATTAAAAATAAAAGTCTAGATTACCCACATCTTCTTCCAGCTGTCACTAGTGAATACTAGAGTGTGAAAATATTCGAGTGCCCACTGCAAGATAGTCTTATTTCAGACAACTTTTTTACATCATCAACTTCTTTGCTATTAAACAAGCACATAGTTGTTTAAATGCCCACACAACATCAATGGCAAGTTTATGGTAATATTCATAGCCATGCATTAGAAAAGCCAGAGAGTTTCACAAAGATTTGTAAGAGCCTGAGGCATGTTATGTTTCTATACAGCAGATATCAGAAGTAATCTAGAAGGCAACTAAAAATAGCTCAGATCAACATGCAGCTGCAGTTTTCTGTTTTGCCCCCTGTCAGCACCAGGTGTCAGTGGTCCCAGTTGCATTTCACAGGGTTTTCAGGAGCGGTCTCCTTCTGGTAAATACACTATACATGATCCCTCAAAATGGCCGAGTGGATAAACCCCTGAAAAGCAGACTGATATTTTTCAGAGAAGTAGTGACTTAGGGGAAATATGGGAACTTCTATTTGGTGATCTCTTTCTGCAATTGATGTTGGCTAGCTGTCATGATAGACACTCTAGTTTTGTCACATCCAGTCACTGACTTAGAACAATACTGCCAAATGGGATCTCTGACGTCACACACTGCACGCCTGTTTTGGATCAGTGACTTCATCTTAAAGCGACACTAAACTCAGGAGTTACATTCAAATACCCTAGCTATTAACAAAAATGTATCTAATTTGTGTATCATGCGGCTGTAGATCCTCCAATCATCTCTGAATTCATGCCGACACTGTCCTTAATTCTGGAGGGCGGCTACTTTTGTTCCCTATAGTCCCTGTGTGTATTGTAAAGTAGCCACCGCTCTAAATTCACTCGTGTGATAGACTACAATCTCATGGTTAAATATATAGATCTGGGTAAAGCTCCTCTTTAATTGCAGGAGTCAGAGGAATTCATGAGACTGAGGCGATTGGCCCCACCAAGGGCCTTAGGGGATCAGGAAGGAAATTTGTTTCCCCTATTGGAGCAAATTGGACCATGCTTTATAGTTTTTTTATTCCTTCATCAACTGTGGGTATAGGGTTTTTTTTACTCTATTCATATAGCTGTGCAACATTAAAACAATTTATTGAGCATAAATGTACAAAGGGTCCCTATTAAAAAATTGCTAATAAGCACAATCCTAAGCATTCTCTTCATATTATATGGTCCTATAATAAATTGAAGGCTGTGATATCAATAAGCTGTAATCCTAATTGAATGCAAACGTGGTCAGGAGAGTGTTGGACACAAATCTGAAAGCCATTTTTAGGTGGGAGCAAGCCATGCATTTCAGGCTGGTGTTCATAGGTACACAGAAAAATGATTCAGTGAAACTTCTGTTTTGGACCTCCTTTGTGAAGAATAAAGCGCATCTATAGCCAAAACCTTTTGATAGAATGGGAAAGGATTAAAAGCCACTGTCAGGTTTTACTATCCTGGGAACAATATTTTACCAGAGACAGTGTAGAACAGGGAAACAGACCATATAAAAAAAAAAAAAAAAGCTGAAAGAGGTTCTAGCCTTCTAAATATAAGGCTGGCCATACACATAATATAAGGCTGGCCATACACATAATATAAGGCTGGCCATACACATAATACAAGGCTGGCCATACACATAATATAAGGCTGGCCATACACATCTATTTTTTCCAAGCAACCCGCGGGCTGAATGAAAAAAAATGGTCCCGATTCCTCCATCAACACAAACAGCGTGTCGATCGAGGAATCACGTTGTTTGCATCATATTCTGACAGGTGATGCCGCCACCTGTCAGAATACCTGACCAGAGCTGGCAGCTCATTGGCTGTCGGCTCTGATGGATCGAACATTTTCCAACTGGTTCCTTCAATCAGCTGATCGAGGGATGCCTATCGAAAGGGTGCGCCGACAGCAGCACACACTGTGCAAATTTTGGCCGGCCGAAATTCG